AGGAGTCTTGCGCTGACAGCTCGGAACACGGTCCACTCACTGAGTGCTTGTTTAAGGATGTTGATGGGGCAGGTCTCTGTAAAGATGTGGGCACAGCAGTTTCTGATTTCCGTTGCTTGGCCAACTTATGTCCCTTTGTCCAGACTGAACCTTTAAGAGCAGCCTTAAGTCAAAGTTGGGCCAACATGGCTCCTATCCCACCTCTCTTTCTTCTCTTCTGAGTGACCGCGTCACCCACCATGGTGCCTGGTCCAGTTGACCGGGTCGTGTGGTTCGTGGTCCGCTGCTCTTTAATCCAAAATCCCGTCTTCCTTCTCCAATCAGTATATTTATGTCATAGGTAACAGGTATTTTGACAATAAAGGCGGGAAAAAAACAGAACAAAAGTGTAGTGAATTTTGGAGGAGCTACAGGCTGCTGCTTCTACAAGTTCTCAACTGGCCAAAGTTAATATGATGCTTCAGCAGTTTGAGTTAGACAAAGCAAGTGGGTATCTTACAAGAAAGCACTGTCTGTGTAAGAACAATGATGGAATTTTGTACTACAAAAGACTGCTGAAACTTGTATTAGCCTATCTCATTGTTGCATAGAACAAAGACTGTGGATTTGGTTCCCCATCTCTTATATTCATATTGTGTTAGGAAGGGACCTCTTTGCAGCCAGTATGGACAAGAGAAACCAGGACCAATAGCTTATTCACATACAGGCATGTATGCTTATCCATATATTTTACTCATGATTATAGAGCAGAGAAGATATGAAGAAAGTGATTTATTTGAGTGCTGTAAATTGTGATGCGTAGTCTGACATGACATGCATATCTCACCCTGAATTTGCATTTGATTCCCATGGTTCCTGTGAGTGCAAGGCAAGTCACAAACTTCCTCACTGCTGATTCACAGGCACTTTATTTTGCTGAGATGATGTACCACTTAAATATGCAGAAGTATAGATTCTCCTTTGTGCGGCTCACGTACACAGTATAATATGCAAAGTGATAACACAAAGGGGTGCTCATTTAAAAAGAACAGATCTCTGTATCCCACTTGTATAGAATTTGTGAAGATTGATCTATGATCTTGTCATGGAAATAGAAAAGCTGGAGCTTTTAAAGGAGCCCGCATGAGTGGAGCTAACCGGAGCTAAGGAATCAAAGCTGAGGAAGATAGCCTGACAACTGTGTCTTCATCATTGTCTCCCCCACAATGATTGTCAGAAACTGGACATCTTCACTGTGGTGGTGATGGTGTGTGTGTGTGTGTGTTGGGGGGGGGGGGGGGGGGGGGTTGCGCATATGTCAGTGTACGTTTGTTATCTATTCTTTGTGACTGTTTTTAGGTGTGCAACAGTGAGACAGAAGAGGTTGTTTGTGTTTGGACTGGGGGTCATCTCTATTTTGACAGCAGACTTTGACAGTCAGTAATTGGTTTCCTTTTCCATGCCTCTCAAAGCTCCTGCAGAAAAAGCAATTTTAGGAGCCAATCAATTCAAATTCCAGCTCACTCAAGATAGAAAAGCCTACACAGCTTTAACCTCCGTCACTGTCCATTAGATAGCTCGGCTGATAATCTGCTCCTGTACCCCCTCCAACCAAACCCCAGCTTACAGACAAACACACATATACTTCCCCTGTCTTTCAGTTGCTGGTGAGGGGAAGCTCTCATTTCCGCTTTCTCTTGAAAGCAATTGAGTGTGATAATAGAGGTTTATACTGTAAATGGTTGGGGTGCATATTTACCCCAAGACTGAATGAACCTGGGAACACCGTGCGTCTCTATCCATGTGTATCCTTTTCACATGCACACAAACATATGCGCCCACGTACACTCTATACTTTGCATTCGAAAACACTCTGTACACCCATCCAGTCACCACACACACACTGGCACACATGCATAAACAGTCATGCAACACACAAATGAGTGCACCGGTACACAGGTACACCCACATAACAACACACACACGGAGTTGTGTTTGGCTGCTGGCTTCGCCTCTGTGAAGGGAAGAAACACATCATTTAACCAAACTGGTCAACTGAGAACTAATTTCTCTTTTGTAGTTACTGCCTGAGGAGCCTAGGGTTTGCAGAGTTTATATTGGCAATCAGCTGCGCACTGACTCTTTGTGCAGAAACTCCTTAACAACTTAGTTTGGATTTTTATCAGAACGCTGACTCTGATAGCTCAGTGCCCTGGTCCTTAGTGCAGGGGAGATTTTCATCAATGGAGTCAAGGCCTAGTATTCATCTACAGCACATACTGCCATTGCATCATCTCTGGGCATTTTGGCAGTAAGAGAACAGGTAATCAGCCAACAGGATTTTGTACCATCTTAGCCAATGGCAAGGACGTATGCATCCTCCATACATTTTTATAGCAGTTATTTTGGAGGGCCCCTAAAAAGAGATGTTTTATGAATCCATCAGCATTGCTTATTTGGAATGAAAACTAGTTATCCCTGTGAACGATCCCGGTACTTTAAATGCGTGTTGCAATTGTCAGTGAGATTATTAGGCACATTAGATAGGCACATTGCCCAGCTTTATTTCCATGTCATTTCTTTCCTCATTAAATCTTACACTCGCTCTCTCCCTGTGCACCCCACCTCGCCAACTTTTCCATCACCTCCAATTCCCCAACCAAAAAAATTTTAAGCTACCATGACGATGAGGGGCAAATGCATAATACTCTGGTGTCAAGGATTCGGGCCCATGGTGTTAAGTTACAGCAAATCCCTGCACAAACCAATCTCTACCATCCATCTGCTGCAGGCCTTCTGTGTCTAAAGTTAAAAGTCTTTGGCAAGCAGTTGGCAAAGTGACTGGGCTTTACTGTCATGGTGATTGTTTGGTGAGAGACAGGGAACGGGTTGAGAATGATAGGGGGTGGGATTGGGGGGACTTTCTCTCTCTTTATTTCTCTCTCTTTCTGTCTGTGTGTCTGTCTCTCTTTCTTTCTGTCTGTCGTATGGCGAGAGGGCCTCGGCCGCGGAAGCAGCGGCAGTATTAGCTCCCAGGCTGAGCCCGGCTCCTGTCACCACCTCGATAGCTGTCACGCTAACACCCCCACCGCTATCATTGGAGCACTTATGGGCCTGTCACTCACCTGGGAGAGAAGGAGCAAAGGAGGGAGGGAGGCATCGAGGGGGAAGCGTGTGCTAAGGGAGATATGTAGAGGAGAGGGGAGACAGTGGAGATGGAGGCGGAGGTCGGGATGCAGGGAGGAAAGCAAGGTAAAGACAGAAAGAAAAAGGGAGAGATAAAGGAGGAGGAGGAGGGAGGAATTCAAAAGGAGAGAGGGGGAGAAGCAGTTGAGTGGCATTAAATGATGAGGTCATCGAGACACGACAGACGAAAACTCGAAGGTTAATATAAGAACCTGACTGGAGTCCCAAACACCTCACACGTATTTAGCATCCCACTCTCTGCTCGTTCAGCAGGATGGGCTTTGGTGCACTTGACAACAAAGGGAGGGCCATTTGGACATTAAAAAGACGCATTGATTCGCCATCCAGGATGGTGCGGTGGAAGCTCTCTGTGAAATTACGGGCTTGAGCTAAACATCATGGTGTAATTTTTAGAAGGAGAAAAAACACATTGATAGCTGCAGCCGTTGGTCCATCTGTGAGAGGCATCATAGACGGGCACTCACACACAAAGCACACACACATAACCATAAATGCATTCAATTTAAAATGCACAGATATTCCCTGAATCCTGACACATTCACACGTGCACACATACATCCACATTAACAGCCCAAAATGAAGCTCAGCATTACCTAACTCACATTTTGGCCCATTTGCTCACAAATGTTTAAGTGTATAAGTCACAACCACAATACAGAAAAGCATATGCCCTGAACACACACACACACACACACACACACACACACACGCACAGTCCTACATTATAAGGTCGGTATCAGGGCATCACTGAATCACAGTGACCAGCATCGTGGTTGACAGAGCAGGCTGCAGACGCGTTCGGGTTTGGCCCTTCAACTGACTGCAGAGCCACTGAAGTGAAACTCTATTACAACAGCCTCTCCAGCCACGATCCATCAGCGCCGACACAACACCCAGTGTGTATGTGCATGTGTGCACATACGCATGCATGTGCTTACAAAGACAGATTGTGCTAATGTGGCATTTCATAAAGTACAAGATTCCTGAAAGTGTTGCTCCTTATGTTGCATTTCTTTGACACCCATTTTCTCTGCAAAACATATGACAGCAGTTGTTGTTGATTTTAAGGCTATGATGGGTCATGTGGATGAGGAAAATATATCCCATCAGATTTAATCCAATCAACACCTCCAAGTGAAGCGTGGCTTGCATGTTTTAACATAAAGTCATACACAGCTGTTAGAGTGGGAGATTTTAGAAATTGAGCAACACTAAGTCACTGACAGATGATATATGCAGCCATTTGGCTGTATCATGCCATTAAAAACACTGTTATTATCCTAATACAAGTATGCACACACACATGCACAATGGCATAAAGTATGCTGAGGGATCATACCATAACAATAACACGAAACTCTGAACATGTCACTGTCAGGAAGTTCTGGTTGTAAGAAAAAAATCATAATTTAATTTCCCTAATTGCAGACCACTTCACTGCACTTACCTGCCACATTGTGCTTGTGGTAACTTACAGTACACCATGAACTTCCCTCCATTCAGTTCTCACAATGGCATTTGAAAAAGGCAGCCACACATAATTATACACTTAACATTAAACTTGATGAAGAGTTTAGGAAGTTTCTTTTTTCACATTTTTATACATTCAAATATACATTTGAAAATGAATCCTGAAAGAGCAAACTGTTTGAGTACATGTGAAACAAATGTCAAAGTAGATGAGAAATAAAACTTGCAATTTCTCGTTCAGAAACCAAATGGATGGACAACAGAAGCTGAACATACGATAAAACTTTACAAGGAACTAAACATGATTTTAAAAGTAAACTTCCCCCCCTGTCTTTTCTGTCCAGGCTACAGATGCAGATGTAGGCACATTTGGTGTTGTGCGTTACTCCTTCAGTGATGAGCCAGACCAGTAAGATACAGCTACACACACACACACACACTCAAACAGTCCACACAATCACATAAATGTTTCATTTATTTGGCCACTTGCGACTGATTGTACTGTGCTGTTTGTGCCGCACAGCCTCGCCAGAGACAGCTGAGCTACAATGATGTCTGGCGCTTTTCTTTACGCCTGCTCTCTTCAGGCCACAAATGTATAAAATCACACACACAGAAAGACACACACCATCTATTTATTTGTTCATTATCTTCAGTATCAACTTCCTGCTGTTGTTGTTTCTCTGTTACCCTTACTTAGAGTCATGTTTATTTGTTTTACAAGATCTCTTTCTTATTATTATGTCTATATACTTTCATGTTGCATCATTATGATTGATTGATATGATTGTTATTATAATTATCTTCACTTAACTAGGATGACACAATCATGTCATGCATTATAATGTTCCTTTTACTAAGGCTATAAGAAACTGAATGCAACAGTACAAGAAAAACAGAATTTTGAGCATATTTGATGTCTGTACAATAACTAACAAATAATGTCTATGATTTAATGTCTTTCTTGTTATAACATGAAACTTTAATATGTAATATGTTATCATTTGCAAACATATCCAGTTGTGTTCTTGAACAAAATTAATCAAGTTAGTATAGCATGATAATGAGAAAAAGATAATTACTTGCCTGTTTCTCTCTTGCAGGTTTTCACTGGACGATGTGACAGGCTGGGTGACTCTGCGGGGCAGTCTGGACTTCGAGTTGATGCAGCGCTTCACGCTGACTGTGCTAGCGAGGGATGGCGGCGGGGAGGAGACGACGGGGAGGATCCGCGTCAATGTGTTAGATGTCAACGACAATGCGCCGATTTTCCAGAAGGAGGCTTACGTGGGCTCGCTGAGAGAGAATGAACAGACTGTCCAGGCGGTGGCACGAGTCAGGGTGAGGCGTGTGGAAAACACGCACGTATGGAGTTTAACAGAAATATGAGGCTTGTTAAAAGACAGTAAAACTACACTGTTTATAGCAGTAAAATACCCTATAAACATACACCTGCGACCATCTCTGATTTTAAATATTAATAAGCTAAACCAAAATCAATACTCATAATAGTATTGTAGTGTTGCTTAGCAACAATTGCTTGCCTACAAAAAATGAACTACTTAGCTAGACCAAAAATGTTTTATTTATTATTGATTTAAAATTCAATTAAAACTGTAATACTTTTGTAAATTATAAAATTAAGATTGTCAGTGGTGAGTCACAGTGAATTGGGGTACGTTTTTTAAAAAAAGATGCTGATGCAAGTAGGTATAGCAAACTGTGCACTCACACAAAGATCCCTGAATAATACACTATGTACACATGTACATATAGTAGTGCATTCACTTCAAAACTAAACCTGCAACAAAACTCATCTCATCCTGACACAAATACCACGAGTCATCAGACTCACAAGCCTTTGGTTTTGTTGCCCTCCTGCTCTTTCTTCTTTGTTTCCCCTGTGTTAATATAATCATGCAGTTATGTGTTTGTGTGCACTGTATCCAAGAACAACAGGTCGGCCTGGCGTGTTGGCCATCAGTCACTGCCACACAAAAGGCAGAGGTACACAAGCACAATGGTAACTAATGGCTCAGCGTTTTCTTTGATTGCGCCCTGAAGAGAAAGACCATTAGGTGTGTTGTGGCAGTGGGTACAGCAGTGGCTCCCCCTGCCACAGCTCACTGTGGCGGCTTGCCTTTACATCGGGGGAGTTGAGCTGATGACTGGGCTCAACGGTTGGCTCACTGTGTTTGATTAGTCTGAGCTAACCTGCTGATATTAATACGCCGCCCGAGAGGAACGGGGAAGCCAGTCGCACAATTCTTTGTGTCAGCGATTTGCCCTGGAACTTACTATACACAAATGTGCGTGCACACACACACACACACACACACACACACACACACCTTGTTTTATGAAAACAGGGAGAGAAGGAGGAAAGGGGAAAAATACTGAAATAGATAGAAGGAGAGGACAGGTTTAGAGGCAAAGCAAATATAGGCTTTTCTGCTGTTTGACTAATAGGTGTGTGCCTCCTACAACAATGCCTATGCTTTCTATCATCTCAAAACCTTTTATAAATATTCTCTACACTTTTCTCTTCTTCCTTTACTTCCATTTTCACTCTATTTGATTTGCTGGACCCAACTCCTCTTACCTATGAGTGGTAAACGTTGTAATAAGAAACTATTTGTTGAAATTTGATATTGGAAGACAGTCTGGAAGAGAAAAGTCACAGCTTAACTTGTGGTGAAGAAAGGTATTGCTTACTCAACACTTTGGCATTAAATCAAAGAGTAGACATTGCGTGTTAAGGAAAGATATAAGTGAGTGTTTTTGACAACCTGTCCAGCCTCTAATGATGCCAGTGAGGCCTGGTAGACTCTCCACACAGCCGGAGGACTCATGTTTAAGTTCCTGCCAACTCGAGAATAATGAGGGGGTGTCATTGTTGTTGTTGATGTTGTTGTGGATTAGCCCCGCAAAGTATAGCTTCATCTGTCCTCTTCCTGATTGGCTTGTCTTGGCTCGGTTGGTGTTCATCCAGTATTGACGCCTGCACCACTTATAGCCAAAATCAGCTTTAATCTGTCCAATAACATGCCATCACTGACTGACAGCCCCCTGGCTGCACACATATGCACAGACTCACACGCGCTCATGCTGTGCAAACATACACGCATAAATGTTAGCGCTGTCTACGGCAGCATCTGTCCTGTTACACTGTCCGTCGTTTTGTCTCAGTCACTCAAAACTTCTTCTCTCTGTGGACTTTTGACTGTCACTGAGGCATATGTTAAAGGCACTCCCATCCTCCACTCTCCCAACCACAGGCTATAGATGAGGATTCTCCTCCCAACAACCTCCTGACATACACCATCACTTCAGCCACGGCCTTCCTCAGTTACTTCAGGGTCATCATGGTGGAGGGCTACGCAGGTACGCTCTATTTTTTGGAAGTATGAAGCCACAGTATATAATTTGTTTGAGAGCATACTAATATGGGCAGGGATGTTGTATATATCTAGACTAGCTAAACTCACATTTAAGTTGTAGAATAGTTTCTATGCGTTTTTACAGGATGCTTGTGTAATTTGTGGTTGTTGTTTGGCAATTGACCCACAACCTTGCTGAGCTCTGAAGTTGCTGCACGTCCCAAATGTATTGTAAGTAATATCCTTTCTGCCCCCGCCCCTTCTCAGTCATCAGTGTGACCAATCCTCTGGACTACGAGCAAATTCCAAATGGGATGATATACTTGACAGTGATGGCCAAAGACGGTGGAAACCCAGCCCTCAACAGCACAGTCCCTGTCACAGTGGAGGTGATTGTAAGTACAACCTTGCAAAGTGCACACACCCTCACACACGTTAGTACTTTTATGTATGCTCATGTGTCAAATTGAACTTTGAACGGCAAACGTATGTCCTGACTCCTGCCCTGTGATTTTTTTTCACTTAACTTTTATTTAACGAGACAGGACACACAATGGCAATGTCACATGTGTATCCTCATGCTAAATTCATCAAGTCCGACCCAATTTGATAAATAATGTTGTATGTGTTCAAGGGTGTCACTTTGTGTTGAAAAGTGGTGGGGACATTTAAGGGCTCAGATTAGGGTGAGACGGAACACTTTATTCGGAACGGAACTCTTAATTTCCTGCATTCTAGAGACATTTTCTGCACCAATTTATGATGGAAATGTCTTTATTTAGTTGAAGGGAAACAAAATTCATGTGGCTGGTGAAAAATCAGACTATAAAAATATTATCGAATATAATGCAGTAATAAGCAGCTTGTTTTTTTAGCCTAAGCTATTTTTTTGGACAGGGCAGATTTGTTTCTTCTATATTTACATGCATTTCATGTTTTCCTATTGTGCAAATAAACCTTTCTCATAGAATCTTTATTTGTTATTTAACATTTTTGTTGCAAGCTAATTTTCATAAAACTTTTAGCAAATGCTTTCAAAAAGTGGTGGAGACATGTCCCCAGCGTCCCCAGTGTAAATGACACCTATGTTTCTCGTTTGGCATAACATGAAGACCTCACAGCCTCTCTTCAGGTCAGACTCTCAAACTACAACACTTGTCTTTGTAAAGAGAGAAAACGACAGGATAAAGTCGCTAACCTGCCTGTCAGCTCGCTCTGGTCTTTTTCAGTGGATTTACCATACAGGCTTGAATATGTGTGCCACCTCTGAAACGAGTGACAGAAACACTCTAAGCGGGTCAGTTTCCGCTTATTTCCTTTTCTAAGAAGTCAGCCACAGATGGAGTGGATGTGCAAAGAGACAATTCAGCAGCAACAGAGTCTACAAACCGATTTTTGCGTCTTTCTCTGACACTTTAAAATGCTTCCACACTGCCGACATGTCAATGAAATTGTTCAGTAACATTTATTCGATCTTTTGACGTATTAGGCCGAACACCGAAAGTGCTTTTCTTTGCTTTTTTCCACCGATTAATTTCGGTGGCCAAACATTTGGTGCATCCCTACTATACACATTCATTTTCACATGTACAGTAGCAAGTCTTGCTTTACCTGATGTCTATGCTTATAATGATGTAAATCTACTAGCAGATGTTATTTGATGTTTGATGTCACTGACATGGATCAAGGAGTTGGTTAATGTTCTCAAAAACAAAAACACTTTCAGAGTCAGATTTCAGCCAGTCTAGTGTCACTCCAGTCACTGAGGTCAGGCCAGTCTGACCAAATCCAAAAGCCAGCAGAGCATGTGACTGTTTTTCATTTATCATCGTTACTCAGCATTTTCGGCCGATGGGACAGTCTTTTAGCTTTATAGACACATGCACAACCATACTTAAACATACATACATAGAGATCTAATTGTCTTCATTTCACAGTCATGAGATGAACTCTTTTCCAAGTCAGTAAAATTAGCTGGTTGAGAAACTTTAATGAAACTGACTGACTGCAACATAAAATGTTATGAATACCTGTTAATGCATCTTTGATTAATAGAATGAAAATAATAAGCATGCAAATTAATAAGAGAAGAGAATTTAACTAATACTCTACAGGATGCAAACTGATCACTTGCTATGTGTTCATCTCCAACTTGTGTGTAATGGAGTCTTCTTCATATACAATGTTATCTTTTGCAGTTTCCTGTTGTCCATCTATTTTGAATCTATTTTATATCTACAGCTATTTATCTTGTAAACACTGTACGCTGTTCAATATAAGGTGTTTGTATTTAGTCACTGTCCTGTCAGAGACACAAACCCTTAGTGTTTTTCCTCCTAATGAGCAGTGTGTTTGTTTTTTTGGTTCCAGAAAGATACTTAAAGTGAAAAACTGGATTGTTGATGACTCTTCTTCTCTTAGCTGAAAATCTTTCTAATTCACACTTTTTAAATATATCTCCAAAGCGTGGTATTTTTTTCAGAACTTATTTAATGACTCTCTTGGCACTGCGGCAGACACACCCTGTGACAAATTCCTCAGTCTCCCCATGTTCAAAGGCACAATCTCCAAACGTTTACAGAAATCTTTTCATTTAAATTCGCTTCTCAGGCCAGAGCACTTATGGAAAGTTATATCATGTGTACTGAATGAAGACTAAGCTGTCTTGTATTTATCTAAACGTTGATCCAGTGTGTGATGGGTGTTAGCCAGCTCATGGTGGATTGTTTCATATGTCTTCAACTTCATGTACATGTTGGATTTCAGTATTTCCTCACTGTTTGAATTGTGCTGAGTACCTTTTGGTCCATGTCTGACTACAGCTTTATTTGCACAGTATGTGCAGCTATCTGAGCTTCCAGTTCGGTCGCCTTTGTCAGTCTTAGTCTTATCAGTTAATGTCTTATTTTAGGGCTCTGGAGAAAGTCACAGCCGTCTACTCAGGCGCACGTGGATCAAAGATGTTTTAATATATTGAAGAGTTGAAAATACTATGTTTCCCTGCTAGCTGATTACATCACATTTGACATTTTCTTTTGTAAATGTTATGTGCTGTCTTGTATGAAAGACCATCTCATGATGTCACATACTGGAAGTCTGTTGGTTTCATATGTTACTAACGTAGCATACACTAGCTAAGACACTGCAAATCCCTTTGATCCACGTCTGATTAGAGATCTGGGTGGAGGTTTTCTGTGCTCACTGTAGCTTTCTGGACTCGGGTCTGACTTAAGTTAAAGGCAGTGAGGAGATCATGTGTGCCCATTCAACACGGCTGACCTGAGATGTATTTGATCAAAGGTATAACACATGTCGACAGTTTTATAGCAAGTTACATAATATGTTTCATATGATTATGAGTAGGGTTTTTTCCACTTTACATACATAATGGAAGAAAACACATTTTCATACATTTTAAACTACAGGAGTTTTTTTGCTCTCCTACTGCATGCAGTTATCTTATACCTCACTATTAACTATAACATTATTAAAATACTGCTGAATATTCTGTGTAACATGCTGTCAGGTGTTATCTTTTAAATATCTTTCTTTTTGTATTTTTGTTAACTTGAATAATTAACATGAATGTTGATCTTTGCTAAGATACCACAAACACAGCAGTAAAAATATAATGAGCAACCAGAACTCATAAATAGTACCTTACTGGCTCTTGAGCTCCTTCCCCTGACAGACATCCATTATACAAGTAACTTTTCATCATAAAAGATGAAATGACAGAGCAGAATGGATGAATCCAGCTGGAATATTCCAATATATGCAAGGACAGTCAGTGAGCATATCTATACACATCCTACACGAGGGAGAAATTTTCTGTAAAAGAATGGAGGAAATGCTGGAATGCCAAAATCAACAGGGAGAGGTGTGCACAATTCTGCATTCCCTATATGTCTCTCTGTCTCTCTCTCTCTGTCCTCCACAGTGTTGTGACTCACACCGCAGGGGTTTATCAGTAGCTGGCAGCATCACATGCACACAATGCTTTGCACCAGTGTAACACAGAGCCCAGATAGATAATGGTGCCAGTGACTGTTGTTAAAGTGTTAACATTTCTCAGCAGCTCACACCGTGGGGAGCCTCTCTGTGAATAGCCACACAACTGGATGTGTTGGTGTGAAATAGAGTCTAATTCAATGAGGGGGAGGTTGTGAGAAATATAAATGCTCTGGGAAAGTCCGCCTGACACTGGATGCTGTTCCATGCTGTAGCCATTCATTCTTGTCAAATTACAGGTGTTTATTGCCCTTTATTTTAGGTAATGCCATTAATAATAATGTTTGGAACGATTTTGTCATTGCAAATGTGTCTTCTTTTTAATATCTGCCCCCGCTTTTGAATTAAGCCCAGTATTTCCTCACTCCTGCAGTTCTAAAGCAATCAATGCAATTAACTACAATGCACTGCCTGGTTAGGATAGTTAGTTTAGCTTACTGCATGTACTTTAAATGTCAGGCAGCACAACTAAACCCCACAACTTGAAGAGATATCAGTTTAATCAGCTGACTACCCATCATCCACTACTACTACTTTTACTATAAAAAACATTTTGCGATCCTTAGAGACTTAATTCCCAAATATGTTACTCTCAGTGCTAATGTGTGATGACAGCTTTAAACCCTTTTTAGTTCTTTCTTTTTTAAGCACCATTTGCATTTTATCATTGTTTAGCACATTGATTTGAGCTGTTGTTGATGTTTATACCTCCTCCAGGATGAAAATGACAACCCACCCGAATTCAGCAAGCAGCCCTACATCGTCAAAATCCCAGAGAACATTATTGCCGGTGAGACACTTTATACATTTGGGGTTACAGTTTAGTTGCTAGACTGCATTTTTCTGGTCTGCACAACAAACACCACACTTAAACACTCCAAATATCTCAAACACTGCATATAGCACACATATTGCCTTTACTATTATCATATTCAACAAATAGCTCTGCTTTCTTGGGGGTATGTTTTTTATGTTTTATTTGAGTTGCTTCCTCTGGCCTTAACTGTCTTATTTGTTTTGATTTTGCATAATGTTTTTAAATTCTCAGTCAGAATGCAGGATATTGACTATTCAAGGCAAAATAACTGGCTGCTATATTCATTCTCATGCATGCATTCAGAAGACTCTTTTATCCCAGACAATAGATTAGTTTCCAGTTGCTGGAGGGAAATAAGATGTTTGACTGCCCCTTTCTCTCTCTGGGCTCCAGTAGACGCTGGACACTTTTTGTGTCTCGGACCCGATTTGAAGGAGCACATAGCTGAGCGGCTTTGGCCAGGGCTGAGGTTTAGGGGACTATGGCTAAAGTGCTTGGCCCGGGGGCCTAAGGCTTGGGATGCAAGGCTGAGCTCAGGGCTAGCCCTGCAGCTCTGGCTAGCCTCTCATCCCCCTGCCTGTTGGGGTATTGATCAGGCCTGTGCCAAGTATGGGCTGTGCCAAACAAGCTGATAATCCACTAATCCATAAACCCACTCACTGCCATGCCATCAGTTGAGCTGTAGATGGGGGCGGTGAAGAAATTAGCTCTCTGAATGCCATCTCAGTCTGTCTCTGCAGCCTGTCTCTCTGTCTTTCCTCTTTACTCGACTTCACATATTTTCCCCAAGACTCAGTCTGTTCATTTTTTTCCCCACTCCATGAGTTGTAACTTTCTTTCTGTCTTACTCCCTTCATCCCTCTCTCTTCTCCACAGGGGCGACTGTACTGCTTGTGAACGCCACTGATTTGGACGCCTCGCGGGAGTTTGGCCAGGCCTCACTCATCTACTCCCTGGAGGGCTCCTCTCAGTTCCGTCTCAACTCGCGCTCAGGTGTGTGTGTGTGTGTGTGTGTGTGTGTGTGTGTGTGCACGCGTGTGTACATGTGTGGATGTGCGTGCGTTTGTGTTATTTTCTGAAAGTATACTTAAAGTTGAGACCGATTTTTTTGAGGTCTGATCCCAGTTTTCTTGTCAAATTAAAAATTTTTGAAACCCTTTTAGTGTCAGTTCACACTTGGCCTGAAAATGACGCATCTATGCATATTTAGATCTGTGTCTACAGTACCTTTTAAGTTTCCTTGTTAAACTCTTCAATTTGCATGTAGGGACTTTGTGACTGAGTTTTTTTAGGGGGGGGGGGGGGTTCTGTTTTTCATTCTAATTCATCCCGACATTAGGAGCTGCTTTGTAATGACGTGTCTGTCAGTCACTTGGGCGTCCTGGTTGTTGTATTTTGTTTAAATATTCTTTACCTGATTCTATGTGTGTTTCAGGAGAGATCACCACCACAGCCCTGCTGGACAGAGAGCTGAAGTCAGAGTACATACTTATAGTCAGAGCTGTGGATGGAGGGGTGGGCCCTCAGCAGAAGACTGGCATCGCCACGGTAACCACTTTGCAGCCATCATTCTTCTGATCCTACCTCACAGAACAAAATTATTTCCTCTCCACTGTTTAATCAGTTATCCTTTTGGGTAAAGTTATATTCCACTGTATGTATATCTTGTAGGCTAGTATGACTATTTGGCTTGTAAACCATGATGTCATGTTTCACTCACTCCCACTTTGTTTAGGTGAACATCACCATCCTGGACATCAATGACAACGCCCCTGTGTGGAGAGATGAGCCATACAATGCCAATGTAGTGGAGATGAGCCCAATGAACACGGACGTTATTTCTGTGAGTGCACAATGCCCAACTTTACCGGGTTGACTAGCTGATGGAACTAGCTGTGTGAACTGGTACACAAATGAACACACAGCAATAATAATTCTTAGTGTTTGTTTTATTTCGAATAGGTTGGGTGGCGTTGAAAACATTAGGAATTAGTTTATTGAAATGTTGGCCTCTACTTTTTGTATGCAAATGTGATGGAGAGAGGACACCAGTATCCTTGAGAGGTGTTTTTTTTATCTGTTTTGATTCATTATTTTAGTCTGTGGTTTAATTTGATTACTCTGAATTTGCAAACTTGAATTAGGCAAAAGGTGTGTTTTAATAAAAATGCTTGGCTTCAGGTTTCAGGAGAGTGGTCGTAGTGTGAAAATTGTAGATTACTGTAATAAAACTATCTTCACTGGAAGATCATTAAGGCTTTCATGACATGAAAAGCAGTACAGCACATCTGTGTGCATACTCATCCACTCCTGATGGTCAAATTGCCATCACTGCGTAGGTCATCACAAAGTAAACACTCTAATATTAGCCCAAACGCTCTCATTGTCCTGCTGCTGTCTTTGGCAGTGTGTTGTTGTTAATTAAGCCCTGATTGTCCATTAATTAAAGAGGCGTCAGTGAGTGTAATTAAGGGAGTCCGATTGCTAATTAAAACGTAGCCTGCAGTCATACTTATAGCAAATTATTCAGCTGCTAGGCCGAAAAAAGGAAGCTAGAACCCATCTTGCAGAAAGAAAGTGGAATGGAGAAAATTGTAAGAAAAGAGAAATGAAAGATACAAGTGTGGTGCTACTAAAAGGTTGCTACATTTTTATTCCTGCTGTCTTGTAGCTATTCCTCAGTCAAATTCATTCATGGTGCATCCAGCAAAGCGATGCATACTGTATGTGCTCAGTGGACTTGCCCCCTCTGACCACTTTTTAATAAATCGGACCACCCTGGCTTGTAGTCCTGTAATTGGCCCCAATGTAGTCCTGGCCCAACCAGTGTTTCCATGGTGACAACAGGCCACCTGCTGAGTCCTCCTGGAGGTGTCCAGTGAGCCGATGAATTTGGTTGCTGTGCCCAGTGCAAGGATCAGCCTGCTCAAATCTCAGCTCACCCCACCATCACTACTGCAGCCTTTGACATTCAGCAACTATACACACACGCAGTGAGCCTCCTCTAATACCTCTTTTCAAAACAATATTCTCTCTTCTGCCACTCTGCAGTCAGATCAGGGCTACAGTTCAATAGACAAGGCTAATATATTTGCTCAACATCTTTTAATGTGCTTTGCTCAGGCCAGAATTGATTAGTTGAACTGGCCCCGGCTAGACACTTCCACACATCTTATATCCCCTACCTTTGTCTGTGCAGTTGATAATCAATGGGCCTCTGAGATGCCTGCCTACCATGTCCCCTTAATAATTAAATACCTGCAAAACCTTTGTTCCTCTAATGACCAATTAACTAGTTTCCAGCGTTTTTAGTCAGCGTGCTGAATAATTGATCAGCTCTTTAAAAATCAGCCAGTGTTTCAGCCGAGCTCCCGGCTTCACGAATTCATCACCCATCGCCACTTTGTGACGGAAAAGAGACGTTACCATTTTTCTTTTAGCTTACTGATGTGTGAGAACAGTTGGAAGGAGTTGTGTGTGAAGATGCTCTGAGGGTCAGATGGGAATGTTCTTATTACAATTACTACAATAATTGCGGTTATTCTTTTTCCTTCCCTGATTCATTTGCTCATTTCTCCCCTCCATTCTCCTTACATTTTCTGTCTTACATCTTTCCTGTCTTCACATCTTTAAGTTCTTCTTGTTAATACTAAACTACTAGGATTCTTGCATACACGGTATGGGAATCATACCTCTTGTTGGGGAATTGTTAAAAGATTTCAGCCAAAGGATATTCAGATTTCCTTTCTTTCCCCTGTCCAGGTGTTGGCAGTGGACCCTGACAATTGGGAAAATGGGACAGTGATGTACAGTATAAGTCCAGAAAACCCCTTCTACACGATCAACAGCAGTACAGGAAAGATCCGCACCAGTGGGGTAACTCTGGACAGAGAAAACTCCAACCCCAGAGACACAGTACTCATGAGGACCATTATTATCTCAGCTGTCGACCGTGAGTAGTGTGTATGTGTGTGGTGGGATGGCAGTTTGCGTTTGTATTTGCCTTTCACTGTGTAAATTTGTCTGACTCATGAAACACCTTAACCATCTGTAAGCAAGCTTGAATTATATCATCCTCAGTGGAGAGCTTTCAATTCTGAGCGATTAGCCTCTTTTTTCAAACCTTATTCCTCAAGTTTTATGTTGACCATGAAACTTTTTTACTGTGGCTAATAAACTCCTTTGACCATGAGATGTGTGTGTGTGTGTGTGGGGGGGGGGTGTATGAGTGTGTCTTCATATGTTCTCTGGCGCCCTCTTTAGGTGGTACACCTCCACTGCGTGCATCTGTGAGCACCACAGTGTTTGTCAACCTGTTGGATCTCAATGACAATGACCCAACTTTCCTCAACCTGCCCTTTGTGGCTGAAGTGCTAGAGGGACTGCCCATTGGATCCTCAGTTTTTAGGGTAAAATATAAGATTATATTCATGTATGATGGCATTTTGAAATGTTTGGATTTTAGGGGTGCAAAATCTACATCTATTACTATTATAAACCTTCCAAGGACTAAATATTTAGGGAAGAAGTTCAGTAACTGACAGACGAGAAGACTTTACGTGGTCACTTAGTCAGCATTTCATATTTTTCACCAAGCAGTTTTAGGGAAACAATGACCATGAATCATTTTCTGACATGATTATTTTAAAACATGCTTTCCAAATAGATTCCTGGAACTACATCAGGATCATTGCTATCCAATTATAATTAAACTTTGTTAACAAAACCATCAGCTATCCTTTACCTTTTTAATAACCTCCTGTGGTCTTCCTTGGTCTTTCTCTCCCTTCCTCTCTCTGTCTCTAGGTCCAGGTGGAGGACCCGGATGAAGATAAGAATGGATTGATTACAATGGCGTTACAGATGGGAATGCCTCGCCTCGACTTCTACCTCAACACCTCTACTGGCATTCTCACCTCCACGGCAGTCCTAGATCGTGAGCAGATTGGCCAGTACCATTTGAGAATTATTGCATACGATGCAGGGAAGTTCCCTCGCACCTCGACTTCAACCCTCACTGTCGCAGGTGAGAATGTGCGAATGTGGCTGGTGATGATGAGAAACTGGGTCTGATTCCCCTTTGCTCTTTCTGAAATGACCCCACATATGAAACTGTCAAGTGACTGCATACTGCCTGAGGTGAAGAGTTACTTCATTATGGCAGATGGTTAACCACTGACTTCTCAGGAATGTGCTGAGAAGGATGCTACCACCTGCTGGTGGGATGTGAAAAATCCTAAAAGGAGAGAAATGGTCTGACTGCTGTGAACATGATAGAAAGGGAATGGAAAAACTGAATAAGGTTTTCTGGCATTTCTCAAATGGATCAGATGAGTCAGATGCGTCTCTTAACCTCACAGGGAAGTCAGGGCCAGCTGTAGAACAACACACCCAAGCTAGAAAGAACTTCACAAGTTTTACCTTACCAAATCCACCCTGCTGCCTTATTTGTCCTCATGTACATCTATCTGTGTGTCCTCATGTCTTTCTGTCTGTGTGTTTGTGTGCGTGGGTCAGTTCTGGATGTAAATGATGAGACGCCCACCTTCAACCCTCGCGTGTACAATGTTTCCCTGAAGGAGAGTGTCCCTAGAGACTACATTGTAGCTCGCCTCAGCTGCTCTGACAACGACGCTGGCCTCAACGCTGAACTTAGCTACTTCATCACAGGTCAGAGGTCACAGTGAAAGCTGTTTTTGTGCGTCTGTGAGCTACAGTGTTGTACAGTTATGGGGACTAAGTGCACGTACAGTACCTCTGTCCATCAATCCATCTCTGTGTGAGTTTGTATATGTGGTGAGCTACTGCTGCATGCTTCTTTTACTATTATAGCTGTACTGTATGTATGTGAATGAGTATGTTTTACTAATAAGCTGTAAATAAATTTGGAAATATGTTTGTGTTTTGTGTTTTTAGGTGGGAACCAGGATGGTAAATTTAGCGTGGGCTTCAGAGACGGAGTTGTTCGGACGGTGGTTGGCTTAGACAGAGAGACCCAGGCAGCATACACCCTGATTGTAGAAGCTATAGGTCTGTCATGAATTTATACCTTCATCATCTTTTATCATCCTCATTTTTACACAGTTATTTGTTATTTGTTATAATAAGACCTGTTCTCCTACATGTTTCGTTTGTGATCTTCAAAGCTGCTTCTTTCCTCTTTTGTACAACCATGATGAAAAAAGGGTGATGCCTGCACATCTGCAGTGATTTCAGACCATTGCTCAACTGCCTTTGTTCCTGTTTGAAAAGAAAGAACAAAAACTCTGAGGTTTTCCTGTTTTGGAAACCATTGAGTCGGGTGGCTTATCTGCCGAGGAAGGCAGAGACACAAGAGAGAGGAGAAAAGGCAGAGATAATTTAAAACTGAATTACACATATTATAATTCACAAGCAGAAGAAAATGACCCAAGTTTTGATGAGCCAACAATGTTCCAGTCTTACTACTTTATATAACGCTATTTTTGGTTTTTATTTTTTGAAGATGAATTGATTGTTTAATGTAACATTAATCCTGGAGTAGTAGTTGTAATCCGATATTCAACTTTTCTATTGTGGGCTGTGCACAAGCCATGAAATGAAAGCCATTGTCTATTTTTCAGCCGTCATGGCGGCAACCCTAAAATTAGCATTATCCTGCAACTGATGTGTTTGTGAATGTCTCTGTTTCTGCACATAGACAACGGTCCCGCAGGCAGCCGGAGGACAGGGACAGCCACTGTATATGTTGAGGTGCAGGATGTTAACGACAACAGACCCATCTTCCTACAAAATAGCTATGAGACCAGCATACTGGAGAGTGTGAAACAAGGAACCAGCATCCTTCAGGTAGAAAACACACACTGCTAAATACGCCTAGTTAAAAACTGCACTTTCAGAACTCAAACTTCACTTTATTTCTTAACATAACAATCATAAAAACACAAAGATCAGTTACAGAGTGGTTTCTTTTGGCTCAGGTAGCATTTTTTTTTTGTCAGTATTAGTGAATCACCATGTTTTGAGACCTGCATGAAAATGTACTATAAAATAATTCCTAGTGTTTGTCTTAATGCACATAAATTACCAGATGGATGGGGTTTTCAGCAACAATTAGCAATATGAAGCAGAGGAATGATACTTTAAACATTTTGATTGGAGAATATTTTTAAGACTTAAAATGAAATAAGTCATTGTTTCAACTATTACCTTGTTGTGTTTTTTTTGTGTGATGAATTATTGCTCACTGTATTAGTTTTTTTATATTCCTTGGATGCGAATCAAATCAGGCCGAATTTATTCCTGTGCTGAAGCATCAAATCCTTACTGAGAGAATTGTAATCAAATTAAATAGTTTTTACTTCAAGTTCAGATAGTGTAGAGCTGCGCTGAAGAAGAAGATTCATGCCCAACAATGGTTCTTGCTATAGGAGGTGAAATGATCAGTCACAAAAATGTGTAAACCCTAATACAATGGCTTTTTGATTGCCTCATTTTTAAGCACTAGTTTTGTTGTAAACCTCGTCCACCTAGCATTCAAAGTATGTTAGAACAAATGCTGACAATAATAATCATGTAGTCTTCACCCACAGCTCGGATTGGTAAGGTTCATAGCGCCAACCATAAAATATACAGTGTATAACTTGTTTTGGGTAGCAGTCGATCAGCCTGTCCTTGAGTCAGATTTCAGTGACGTAGTCAAATAGACATGGCATAGTGAGGTGGGGCTCCACACTGGCATCTGGCTGTGGTGTCTGACGAGCTGGAGACTGGCTGGTGAGGTGTGTGCTTGAACGCTCATGAGGCCTCCGATGGGGCGGCCGTCTGAAGGAGAGATTGTATGAGCGGCGATATGAGCCCAGTCTCTTCCACACCTTGAGCTGGGGCTCACTGGACCGGCTTCTTCCACGGGTCAAGCTTTCCCCTGGGCCACAGCTCGCCTCAGTGTCCCCATCCTGCTCTGTGGGCCGACACACAGCCAGGAAGGCTGCTAACCCTGCCAGCAGCAGCGATAAGCCCAGCACCACCATGATGGTGAATTCTGGGCGGTAGATGTCTGAAGAATCGGATGGAGTCTGTGGGATGGTGGGAAAGATGGTGGTTGTTGTCAGGCTGGACAGAGTGACATTGTCTGTGTTAGAGGTGAAGTTTGAGCCTGGTTCAGTGGTGTTCATGTTGTCTTGGCTCTGGATGGAGAAAACAACATTAGATTGGCAATCCATGTCAGGATGTGTGCATGTGTTACTCTATTTGTCTACATGTGTATGTTGCCATGTTTATGTGTATGGGGTCTGCGTAGGGGTGGGCAATATGCCAAAAAAATCACAATCTATTTAATCACAATCATGATCCACAATTTACATTGCGATTTTCTTTCTAAATTTTGCAATGCCCTGTAGCCAGATTTGAAACAGCCTATGCATTTCTGCATTTGCACAATTAAAACACAGTATTGCATAGAAGACATACACATGTTTCAAAATGTTGATTAAAACCTGAGTTTAATTTGAAGTTGTAAATGAAGCCAAAAGATAACATAATCATAAAATAAATATTTTCAAGCACTCACAACTCAATTGCATTGTTTACAATATGTCACTGTTGTGAAAACAAGTAATTGGTCCAAGCAGCATAGCCATATAGTTGACTACACTACGCGATTGGTTTGTTCATGTAGCGTGGATCAACTAATCAATGAGGTTATGTAAAGTTTGAAAACAGAAGTAAGAGAACATTAAATAGTCAGCCTCTACTAGCCTAGACTGTGGATGCCTTAGATCACAATCCTGATCTCAAATCAGCAGATTGCCCACCCCTAGGTCAGCCCCTGTCAAAGTGCCTCCACAGCTCTCCGCCTCAGTAGCCAGGCATAACCAAGCTGAGTAGGTTTATTTCCCCTTTATTGTGATCATACACTCAAGGGCTTATGATAAGCATACACATGCATAAAATACATGTACAAATATGCACAGAAACGCATGCATGCACACGTGGATGCAATGGCATTTGTGGCAATTATGTAGCTATTAAATCAAGGACTACCAAACAGTCAATGCTTGACAGGCTTTCTTCAGTGTAAAACAAATTGCGTTTATTAAAATGCCCCTTGTAAAATGCAAGGCAACCACCTCTTCTATCCCGGTCTCCAATTATTCCCCCCCCCCCCAATTCTGTGCACCCCCATCTTCAGCATAGTAACATTTGTAAATGTCATCGTCCTTAATTCAGCGGAGACAAAGCATGGCTTATCGGTTTAAGGGAAACACATTGGGACGTGAAATTATTTTTAAGACCAAATGCCAGGAAAGCTGTGAAAAGGCCAGTGGAGCAGGATGGCTCGTTAGAGAGTCAGTTCATTAGTCAGCGCCTCCAAGCACATATGCCACATGCGCACGCACGCACAGACAGCTATTCAAACACAAACTTTCTTTCTCACTCACACATACTGTAGACTGTACTTGCACATATTCGTGATTAGGCATGCTGCTCTTAAGCTTGCCAGCTTAACTGTAAGGTACTCTCCCTCTCTATCACAACCCACATTGTTGCTCCTCCAGATATGACTGCTCAGCTAGTTTTGAAACAGTCAAACTAATTTCTTAGCTTCTTTACAGGCACACTTTGTCTAACCTATTCAGATATGTAAAGTCTGACCGATTGTGTTCTCCAGTAAGTAGATTTGTTTTGATTACTCTCTAATGTATGGTATTTTTCACCATATATTCTCTATATTATCTAAATATTGAAAGAAAATAATGAATGGGGAACACAGTAACAGTTGTGTGCCTCTAATATCATATTAAAATCTACCTTCCAGATAAGTCCTAATCATACTAATCCAAATGCATACAACAGTCTCTGTATACTCCCTTAGACAATGTGCAGTTACTCAAGCACATGTCAAGCAACTCACATGTCGAAATGTGTTTTTTAGACATTTCATTCCAAAGTCCAAAGTGACTCCACAGCAGACATAACATTCATAATGAAGAGACATTAATTAGATGTTTAGCAGTTTTAGGACCTTAACATTTGAAATGTTTTTATCACATTTACCTCTAAATTGCTAAACATTTAACAAGTCTTTTCATATTGAAACTTTACTCATTTGGAATAAGAGCCTTCAAAAATGTATACTCACACCCACACTTCAGAGACTTTTTAAAACAGCACCGTGCTTAGTTCCCGTAACTGAGGTCAGACCTGTTTCTTGGCTCCACACACTTGTTTTTCCCCCCTTAAACTGCTGCTTTCCCAGAGACAGAGGGGGAAATGCTGGAGAGGAAGAGGGGAACAAGGAGGAAAAGGGGGTAAAATGTGGGTAACAGCAATAAGATTGAAATATCTCACTGTTATTTTAATCCCAGGGAGCCAAACACAATAGTGTTTTTTCTGAGCCATGCAGAGGCTTAGTGAATAATCTCTCAGTGCTTACACTCCACATGCTTACACTTACAACATCTGGCTCTGTAATGTAGTCTTACACTTTATACACCCCCCTTTTATGGCCTAAGTGGTGCAGTCCGCTGTGTAATACCCTATTCATCACTCACCAATCTGACCCCCCAGCCTCTTTTTTTCTCCCGTATCCCCCTCCCCTCTCCTCCTCTTTCTCCTCTTCTCTCCACATCTCTTTATAAAGCTAATGAGACTGAAGTTGGGCCCCTCTTCACAGGAGGAAACACAGGGCAAGAAAGAGAGGGATAGTGTGTGTATCTGTATTTGCGCGTACCTTAGTGCATGTACATGTGCTTGAGTGTCTTGAGTGTGTGTCTCTGTGTGCAATTGAATATGCACTTTGTAGGCACCTCAACATATTTTGACGCATCCACAGTGGAGCCGGGTGTGACATGAAGTCGGCCTCATCCAGCGCCAGCAGCTCTGTGCCTCGCTGGATTCAGAAGTCAGTCTTATGACATGGCCCATTCACCAGCAGCCCAGCATGCTCCACTATTTATCTGTATACGCTGTGGAGCCATGCTGTCTGTGCTGGGTTTGGGTTTTTGGCTGCTTCTGGCTTTCTGCCTGTGACAGAGAGAGAAAGAGGTTCTGCCATTACAAACTTACTGCCAAGCCATGTTGGGGTTGTTGTGGCAACAAGACACTGGGCACTAGAGGATGTGTGGTGAATGAGGAAGAATACCGATTTATCTGTTTGTAGAAACCATTGAATCAATAAAAATGTGCATGAAATGTACTGTCTGTCATGTGAATTTATGTGGATTAAACACTACAGAGGTAAACACTCAGTATTCAATTGAACAACAGACTCACAGGTAACCAAATCCAGCTACTCAGTTCTCTCATAATGAAAGGGTTTTGTAATCTCAGATGACTGCAAAATGTAAAACACTGACTTTGTAATGGCACCTAATGTTTTTGTTGACATGTTGTAGATTTAGTTATGTTTGGTATCCCTGTGATGTTATTGCATGTAACTACAGATTTACTGTTTGTGTCTGTCTATACAGGTTCAAGCTACAGATGCAGATGAGGGGGAGAATGGACGAGTTCTATACAGGATCCTCTCTGGCAAGTGCTGCTGTAATTTTCCTCCCGGATGGACTTTGCACATGAGCTCCTTGCTCACAAACAAATGCACTGAAAGAACAGGCTCCAAAGATGAACTAGACTGAGTCATTAAATTTATTTTGGGTGCGTTGTTAATCCAGTGGTTCAAAATGGATGGAAACAACATCTCCAAGAAAAAGTTTCCTTCATTTTAGTGGTTTAAGCTTTTGTGGCAAAATTCTGTCGACGGGCTTGTATGATAATTCTTCTCATTTCCAACGCAATTTCTCCTCTAGGAGCAGTCAGGCAGATCTTGCCGCAGTGAAGTACCAGTAATGACAAGTTCTTTAAAGTGAATTTGCATTGGAAGCAACTGAAATTATCTCACCCAGCTATCAGATACCCCCAATAAAGTTATCCAAACCAGAGACTAGATTTAATGCTTCGTTAAAATGTGCATTTTTGTGAAAGTTTCTCGCTCTGTCTCACATTCCCTTTCTCTGTCTTTGTGTGTGCTCATGTTTGTGCATGTGTGCAGGGAACAGCAACAATCTGTTCAGCATAAACACACAGACCGGGCTGGTGACGAGAGGCCTCCGGGCGCTGGACAGAGAAACCAGCAGCTCCCACATGTTGGAAGTGGAGGCCTACAACAGTGACGAGGGCAGCATGAGGAGCTCCGTGAGGGTGAGGAAGAGGAGGGAAGTTGGTAGTTACAATGTGAAGCATACATTATGTAGAAGTAGTTTGTTCTTTATATTGTAGAATACAAAGATTTATACACTTTATAGAAAATGTGCCTATCTTTTTAAAATGGTCTTTTGACATATGTAGTCTAGAAACGTGGATTTCAGATGATCCAGTCCCTTAAGTGGGACTCAGATATGTAATGCTCTCATGAAATGACCAGACCCCTTTGCCAAAGACTGCATTCCTCAAAGTTAATATGTATTCTTAATGTAAAGCCACACATGTCTTCGTCTGCAGGTGATCATATATGTTGATGATGCCAATGACGAGGTGCCAGTGTTTACCCAGCAACAGTACAACCGGCTGGGCCTTAGGGAGACTGCTGGCATTGGCACCTCTGTGATTGTGGTACGTGCCACAGACCGGGACACAGGTGAGTCCAGTCTAAGATCAATCAAAGGAAGGGAGCAGATGGAGTGGATTGTCAGTTCTTGTTGTTGACCCTTCAGTGTCAGGTTTTATCCTCATATTATAAAGCAGAAATAGACATTTAGCTGACTTTAAACTTCCTCCTTATTCTTCGCTGGCACTGGCAGGAGTCAGTTGTTTGCATGTCACCAACCTCGACACCAGTGGGTGCCATTCCAACATGGAATATCAAACCTCTTTTTGCTGGCGTGGACAGTCCTCAATTCCGTGAACAGTATATATATTAGGTTTTGACCTAGTCTTGTTATATCACACAGGCGCATGCAGAAAATGGCGTTCACTGTAACTGACATTGAACACTCTACCTCTGCTCCACAGTACAGACTTCCTCTATTCACTTCCCGTTGTGTAGTGTTTCTCAGGCAACTTATGATGCATCTGCTGTTGTGACATACATTTTCCAAAACATTAGAGCAGGCCTGATACTAAAATCAACACAATGTAGCCAACAGAACAGAGTGTGGACAACAGTGTTAAATAAAACACAGGAAGATGTTTACATGTTGTAACTGTATCTATCCGCAACTATCCGCATAACTATTTAAAACTCTCACTTTCTAGTTGGAAAATACAAGCTTAAAAGTTGTTATCGTAAGTATTTCCCTACCCCCAACCCTTCTTCCTGCTCAGGTGATGGTGGAGCCGTTGCTTACTCCCTTGTGTCCGGTTCGGACCGCAAGTTTGAAGTGGATGTAAGCACTGGCCTGGTAACCACTGTGGACTACCTGGACTATGAAACCAAGACCACTTATCTTATGAATGTCTCGGCCACTGACCAGGCTCCACCTTTCAACCGAGCCTTCTGCACAGTCTACGTCACGTTACTTAATGAGCTGGATGAGGCCGTGGCCTTCTTGTCCGGCGGTTATGAGGCTTCGCTGCGTGAGAACATCGCCACGGGGACAGAGGTGGTCCAGGTGAAGGCCCAGTCGGCCGACAACTTGAACCAGCTGACTTACCGCTTCGACCCTGACACGTCGCCTGCAGCTCTAGCCCTCTTCAAGATAGACAGCGTCACGGTGAGTCGGGGAACAGTGGAGGAAAGGTCACCGATGATATGTGCACAATGTACATGCCTCTTTTTTGTACAATTCAAAGACTGCACCCTCCTTCTGTCAAACACGTTTCATCCATTAACCACAGTGTGATTCAGTAACACTTCTTTCTCTGTGATTTAAGCTAGAATTCTGGTTGCTTCATGACTGTAAGCTGATCAAAGACCTTGTTTGCTTTGAAGTTATTTGGTTCCTTTGATAGATGAGGAAGGAGGAAAAAAGTGGTTTATGATACTTCTAAGTCTTTCTCTATCTCTGTCCTTATACCCTGTCTGATACATTAGGAATATTTCTATCTTGTATGCAATCTTTATGGAGATATGCTAATGAGTGTGGCGTTTCAGGGGCGTATCACAGTGACAGGCCTGCTGGACAGAGAGAGGGGGGATATGTACACCTTGACTGTTGTAGCTGATGATGGAGGACCTAAGAAGGACTCCACTGTGGTATGCTTTTTTCTGGATTATTTTAGCTCCCTTCTTTTCATGTACAACATTCTATTTATTACAGTTTATTATGTTGTCTATTCTGTTGTAGAAAACTTAATGGCATTCCTCTTTTGTTCATTGCATCTCTCATTGGAAGTGCAGAAGGTAAGACATGCTGTTGTTTTTCAGAATATTAAAGGCAACATGAAAAGTATTCATCTGCTGTATCTTTTCATTTTAGGTTTTGTTTATTTTCATTCATCTCAAAGGTAAGTATTTCATTGATCTGTCTAGTTATGGAGCTTACATTTTCTTACCTCTTGACAGGTTTCGATCACCATTCTGGATGAGAATGACAACAGTCCAGAGTTTGACATCACATCTGATACTTCAGTGAACATCGCAGAAAACACACCCATGGGGAAAAAAGTGGCAATTGTGCTGGGAAGGGACAAAGATGCTGGATTAAACGGACTGGTGAGGGGAAAGGAGAAGGATGGGAAAACATGGACAAAGACTGATTAAAAAATAATTTAAAAAATCATAAAAGATCTTATGTTGGCACATTAATCAGTTGTAACCATAATGCCTTTACAGACTTACTGTGAGAATAATTACTACAATAACTAAAGATCTCCAAGAAGACAGGCTTTTACAACACATTTGACGTTGTGTTAATTTGACAGGAAGTCTTCTACGCTGCTTTACAGCACTAAATAGAAAGATGTTCTTCCAGTGAAAATTGTGCAATGTCACAGTTTTTGTCACCAACATATGGAGAATCAAGTGAATGTCACGGAGGCCGTGTGCTCAAGCGGGTTAAACAGTTTTTAGCACCCAAATGCAGACACTTTACTCAGTTTATCTTCTTGTAAAGCCCAACTGACTGCGAAATTTCTAAAACACAAAAGAGAATAATCCAAAGTTAGGAAAACAAACAAACTGGCAGGGTTGCAGGCAGAGACGACAACCAGGTACAACAAACGACATACGATGGGGACCCAACAAAGACTGAACAGAAATTAATAGATTAAATTCAGGGGCAAATGAGTAAGGTGGGAACAAACAGGTAAAGCACATGAGGGGTAATCAGGAAGTAAAGATAGATACAACATCAGATGCGGACAACTACACACTAAGACAGGAAACAGGCAGACACAAAAGGAAATTCCAGACACAGACAATTTCAAAATACAGAAAACCAGACTAAGACACAGATCAAAAACAGAAGAACACAGAGCAGACAGGCCAAACCATGACAGTCAAGTTACCAGGATCAGTTTAAGTATGTTTACGCATACAAGGAATTTGACTGGTTTCGAGTGGCTCCCTTTTCATATGACATGAGTATTAAAAATGTTCATTTCATGGGAGTCTCAGTCGTTCGCCCCTTTTATTGTTTAGCATGGGCTGTGATCTATTCAAGATTTAGAGCGTGCACAGCCAAATACAACTATTAAACAATATATTATGGGTTATTTTATGATGAGATGTACTGAGTGAACCTAAGCTGTTGTTACATTGTGATATTCTCATTCTTTCACTGTCCCTCCCCCCTTTCTCTTTGTCACCTTCTGACTGATTACTCTCTCTCAGGTCAATTTCACTCTGGTGGCAGGCAACATGGAGGATGTGTTCAAGATCACGACAGTGAACCACACCTACGGGGAGGTTTATGTCAATGCACCTCTGGACAGAGAGTCAGTAGACCGCTACCTACTAAAGGTCAGGCAGCAATCCACGGGGGGGGGGGGGGGGGGTAACAAATGAAACATGAGCTCGGTAGAGTCGTCTGGTTCCCAGGTTAAATCTTTTACCTCAAATCTATATGTACATGTGACTCATTCACACTTCATTTTACACTTACACCGCAGCACTGACTCAATTGTAAACCTCAGCACAAGATATACACCCATAGTTATGCCTAGTTATGTGTCACACTCATCTGAAACTAAAGAGCACTGGACAATACAAATAGTGTGTGACCATTTATTAAGTTTTGAACTGATCTGATCATATCAAATTAATATCCATGTCAATATTTTCACATAAAGGAAAGCACACTGCATTTTACCTCCCAACACAAGATATTGCACAGAAAAACCCAGGCTGAATGCTTTGGATTTGTTTTTAACCAAGCACCAAACAAGATGTGTATGCACTTAATATCTTTGTCCCCTATGTGATTTTATACCATGTGTCCAAAAGCCTGGTCAGACTTGCATACTAGTATACACCAGTGCATGTGTATGTTGTTACAGGTGCGTGCAACTGACAATGGCTCACCTCCCAGATACACAGACCACTCCCTCACCATTAACATCCTGGATGTCAATGACAATGCACCTGTTATTGAAAGCCAGAGGGGCTACAACGTCAGCATAAGCGAGGTAGAGACGCACTCTGACATCACATGGAGCATGATGTTCATTTCATCCAAGCAAGATTTGCCTTGGAATTTGCACGTTTCTGTAATTTTGTATGTATAAAGTTATTGAATTGAAGCTGAACAATGTCATGAGCACCGGAAGGAGTGGTAATTTTCAGTTTGCACAAAAATCATATTTAACTAGTCAGTCACAGGTTTGTGTTTATTCTACCATGATAATCACAGCTTGATGATTATGAAGCTTCTTTTATAATGTAAATTGTAGAATGTTGGAGGTGGTACGTCAGTCCTCCGTGTGATGGCTACTGACCGAGACATCGGTCCCAACGCCATGCTGTTTTACTACATCACTGCCGGAAACCAGGACCTGACCTTCCGCATGGACCGTGTGACCGGAGAGATGGTTACCCGACCAGCACCTCCGGACCGAGAGCGCCAGCAAGAGTACAGACTCACCGTCACTGTGGAAGATGACGGCACTCCACCTCTGTCGGTAAGACACGAGGAACAGCAGCTGTAACAAGTAGAACACTGGAAAATGTTTGTCAACATTTCAGAAAATAATGCAATGAAAAAAATCCACTCCAAGTTGTTTTTTTAGTTAAGTCAAGTCACTTTTATTTATGTAGCTCAATATCACAAATCACAATTTGCGTCAAGGGGCTTTACAACGCACATGAAACAACAACAGCTGAGGGTTAGCAATGAAGGCAATATCAAAAAGTATGTAGTCTGTTGGTTGAATTCTCATCTTCATAATAAATATAGCACTAATGTTGGTCTAATATTAAATCCAAAAACTTTTCTTAACCACTTATGAGAGATTTGTTGTTAAATCAAGCACATTATTATGTCAATGCTTCATATTACGATGAAAAAGAATTCATCTTTAAACATCCTCCTTCCGTGTAGTGTAATGAGGGAACCTGCGGAGTAAACCTTATCTGATCTCTTTATGGTGACTTGAACTTGGGGGATTATACATCACGCCTTACTATAAAGCTGTCTTTTGGTCAGTCATTGTACTACGAACAATCATACCTGAAAGATGTGCTTATTCTGGGGATTCTATGTGTCTGTGTGCTGTCTGTTTGTCTACCTACAGTACAAATCAGATGTGAGATCAGATAACATAGTAAGGCCTTCTGTCTGTACATAGCTAGAGCAGTAAATGAAATACAGTGGTTGGTTGATCTTCTGTATGAGCTGATCAGGAGGTACAGGAAGCACATGTGTTTGTAAACAGGAAAGCCACAAGTCATATTTCCAAAAGAGGAAGATGAGCGTTGCTTTTCCTGTTTCGAACTGTCTGTAACATCAATTGTCAGGTGACAGTCAATAGTTAGTATAGTACTGTATATGGCCTGTCTTTTTTTATTTTTGACTTTGCTTGTCTGGATAATGCAGCTGCTGCTAATGCAAGACATAAATAGCTAATGTAAGTCTGCAGAAAAAGCACCGGAGAGAGTTAATGGCCAGCAACAGGCAACCCCTCCTCCCATATAGCTCTCTGTCTCTTCTCATAAAACAAGATACTAAGATTGTTTTATCATTTTCTCTCCTCAATGCCAGTATCTCTCTGGTGTGCACCATCTTACTGGCACACAAGTGGAACAACCTTGTTCCATCTGTAATGGCTCCCTAGGTAGCAAGTGTAGCCCGTCCTTGTGTAGTGATAGTTTTGGAAACCTGCCAATTCAAAGGGACGATGATTTAAAAGGCTAGACACATGGCTTTAAGGTACAACAACTCCACTTTATTATACAAGAAACAGACAATTTGAATGCAATACACAGAACAAAACATGCTTTTCTCTATATCTATGTTTAATAAAGCTTTTTACAGTATAAAACAAAAATACATACAGATTCTATATCACATACAAGTATGCTCACACATATTCAACCCAGACAACAGTGTACACTGTAGCCCAAGATTTGAAAACACACACACACGGGCACACATGAAAACACAAATACTTAAACATGAGACCATGAACTCTTATCAAAGTGTTTAAAAACATACATACATTATACCTTGTCCTATAGACCTGCTACATGTGATTCTGAAGTGATTTTTGCTGAGCACCTGCTGTACATATTTTACCTCAATATAAAAAAAAACACCCGTGGTTTCTCACAATCAGCCACAGACAGACAGTAATATCAACATTGTAATCACCTGCAATCACTTTTTCTTATTTTCTTTCTATCTACACTGATAAGGTTTGGTTGACATTTCAATGCCCTTCATCCACACATGTGCTAAATAGTATTTACTAATTTGCATCCAATTGCACAGATAAAAATATGAACAAACAATTAAATCAAGACAAAATAAAAACAAAAACTAACTGAGATAAAGATTCCAAAAAACAACATTGAGATTTTACAGTTTTACTATGGTGGGTTTTTTTTAATAGGAATCTGTAGGCTACTTTCAAAAGCAAATCAATCAACACTATTCTTATTGTTAAACTGTACATAAGAATGAATGACATTCAAGACCCAAAAGGTTTTCTTTCGACATACATACTGCTATTTACAGCACTTTATGAATAAATTTAAGGCCACTGTGAAGTGCTGTGTTTCTGAGAATACAGGAAAGGAAGGAAAGTATTGAGACACAGACAGAGCTGGCAGTAACTGAGGTAGCAAAGAGGAAAGAGAGAAGAAGCCGAGGCCAAGTGGAAATGATACAGATAAACAGTGTAATGCCATAAAAACACTGTCAACTTGCAGCCTCCTTTGGTATGAAGCTTTGAGAGACTTTACTACAATGACAGGGATGAGAGAGAGCCTTAGGTCGCTTTCACACCTGTGGTTTGGTTAAAAAAAAAGGATGTACTGTTGTCTTTTGATTCCAGTCCATTTTGTTTTCTCACTGACTTATTGCAATTGAAGTGACAGATGACTCATTCACTGGACAGTTTTGTTGATTGTCACCCTTCATCATCAGTGCTACATGGACGAAGTAGGGAAAATCAAAACTAAGTTTTATCAGCAAGTGATAATATCACGTCTGTCATGAATAATGATGGAAGGCCGGATGGAACAATCAGAGAGACAGTCAGCTGTCAGTGCAGCCCCCATGTTTTTTTGATTTTTACAGTAACACAGAGAAGGATGCAAGCAATGCACACTTCTGCTTAAACCCCTTTTCACTTTGTGATGTATGATAATATTCCTGCACTCACATGCTGATGTGTATACCATGTTACCATGACTAGCAATCAGTTGAGGAACTATATGGGCAAGCTTGTAACCTCACACCTTAAAAACTCTTCTCAAGCAGCGGGGAACTTGTTGCCCCCCCCCCCCCCCCCCCCCCCCCCCCCCGCCCCCACAACACAAGCTCTCACAAGCAAAAGTTTGTTTTGGCCTCCAGCTGTTGTTGCAGGTGGAAATAGTTTTTGGATAAAAAATGCTGTCCGATCCCTCCTGCGGTCCAGACAATCCCAGTAGACGTTATTGTGAGACCGTTCATAAGAGAAACATTGCTCTGAATGCAGAGAGAAGAGGAAGAGAGTTGCAGGACTTTTTTCCAGATCAGCAGTTGAAGCGACCCTCATTAAACCTGCAGGAAGTCTGGAGACTCAGGGATGGTGTCTGGAACAGAGAACAGTGCAGGTCAGTGAGAGCATAGAAATAAAAGCAGGTAATCCACATGTATCAACCTGCACAAATGCACAATTCATGTATGTGTGCTGACATGTGGAAATTTAGATATGAGGGAGTTTTCACATTCATAATTGCATTTCCTGCCCAAAACATGGCCAGAACTTGTCAAAAGACACACGACAGCATTTCTTTTTCCAAACCTCCTACACTACGGAATAGTGCAAGTATACAGAGAGACTGATCTACTGTATTTCTCAGAATGTGATGTGTTTATCTGGAAACCCACTGAAAAGGGGAACAAAAAGGCCTTAAGTCTGAGTTGCGGCACGCTGAATACTAAGAGATGATAAGAGGGAACTGCTGCTGGTTAAATTCCGCTCAGCTGAAGGTCAGCGGGTCAAAAAAGATGAAGAAGAAAGCTGAAGTATCGCTTTTTCCTACGTAACATGAAACCTCGGACAAGAAACCAGAGTGCGTATGCTGCATAACTTTTGTAGACCAGGGAAAAAACACCTTGAAAAATGTAAAAAATTATGCTTTCTTTCTAGGATTTTTGATTGTTATATCAATATTTGTGGCTCTCTTTAGAGTGGAAACATAGTTGTAATCTAAGATGCAATCAAGCAGCGGAAGTTTCCACTAGTAACTCCCACATAATTCTAATTGTGCAAATAGGGCAAAACGGTTTTACCATACCGGTATGTTTATGCTTGTCAGTTTTCACATACAGTATATTATCAACAAACAAACTCCTGTATGTCTTTCTGAGATTTTTGCACACTAAACTTTTCATGGTGATAGAGATAACATATGTGATGGTTTAGGGTGGACTTTCCCTAAGTCTGGTTCTGTCCTTTCCCCTGTTCCATCATAGACCGTGCTGCCAGGAAATGGGGCAATCCACCTCAGTATGCATGGAATGTCTGCACAGGTGCCTCGGGAATCGGTAGAAAAACACTCAGGATTGAATCCCTTCCCCGTAACTAATGTTTCAGTATTATTTCAAGTTGAGTCGGAGAGAACGGCTCAAGGGCCCATTAGTGTTAAATGAGAGTGCTGATGGGTGGAGAATGACTTGCGAGGGAGGCAAGTGAAGAATTCAGATGATGACAGCATAAGGAGGTGGGTTCAGTTGTGTGGGGGAGAGAAATTAAACCTCCTACACAAAATATTTTTTTCTTAGTCATATCAGATTCAACCCAGCTGTTTTTTTTTGTGTGAGCATGAAATTTTCCACAAGATTGTGATGTTTCAGCAGAAGCACAGAAAGCCATGGTTGTTCTTTGATTGCGTCAGTCTTTTACAATACTGACTGTACATTCTGAAATAGGTATTTCAAGAAGTATACCCTTGTGCAATATAGTTACGTGCCGCTACTTGAGTACATTTGTACATCCTTTGAGATTAAAACGTGAAGAGAGTCAGATTTATGCATTCAAAGTGTAGTTAATAAGGCGAGGCCCACCACAGTGCACACTCACTCATAAACTGAAAGGCACCCACTTAGCCATGTAAATTAACTCTCCCAAGAGCGAAATAAGTCATACTCTTCTTTCTTGGTTTTATGGTGCTGGTCCGACAGAGCCAGGCTAGGGGGCAAAAACTGAGTAAAATGAAGTATGGATTAGATAAGTGTGTGTACCAGCTTATGCTTAGTGATTTAGTGTTTTTCATCTTGTTAAATAAGCACATTTAGAAGGAGTTGCTGTTGTGTTGTCAGGGTGTATTGGTTATGTGTGTGTCCTACCTTCTACTGGGAAGAATACGTCCCCATATACATGAGGAGAAAGAGGGGTTCCGGGCTCAGACAACAGGTTGCGTCCTGTCTCTGAGGATTGCCTGGTCATGATCTGAGACACGGTACGGGTCTTAATCTGTGGTGATCCCCCAAGGAACACAGGGTTCTCATGGCCATGAGCCTCACTGAACACACGCACAAAGGTACACGCATACACACAAGAAAGAGAAGCACCCAGATGAGTAAGACATTGCCGATATGACCCAATCAACTGTTTCAACAGTCCTCTGTTTCTCAAGACATTTAGAAGCTTTATGGCTGTCACTTTTGTTATCTAGCAGTAATAAATACATTCCAGTGGCACACAACTTGTAACCTAAAGGCAAGTGTAGACTACAACTGTTCTGTGCAGAAGTCCTTTTTGCTGTACAGTAATGCAGAGTATGTCTCCAATGAATGTAGTAATTAAATTACTGATCTTTTTTAAAGCTACATGTAGATCTTTAGCAAGCAAAAGATTTCAGGAATTGTTCACAGAGTTGTAACCAGCTATTTGGCTGAAACTACCTATTGTGTAAGAAATCTTGTGGACCCTACAAAATAGAATGTCCATGTACACAGTATTATTATTCTAAAAGCAGCTGTGCTTTGAAGCTGGTCTATGAAGCAAGCTGCCTGACAGACTGTGGGAAAACTTACCTGTCCATCCTCACCAGCTCTTGTGCACCTGGGAGAGAGGAAACGGGAAATGGGCCATTGTGAATGAATTGAAATAGAGCGGAACACTACAGATGGATGTGAATGTGCTTCCTACTGTGTGAAATAGAGTTAATCCACCTCACTGACAGGAAATATGTGTCAGACAAAACACTATGGGGAACCCAGTGTGATAGATTTATATTTGACCCATAGCATGGACGTGTGTGTGTGTGTGTGTGTGTGTGTGCGTGTGTGCGAGCACTTGCTGGTGCATATCAGTAATACGTACGTCTGCTCGACTGGTCGTTGTGCCTCTGTTTGTACACAAGCACCAGAATAAGAGGCAGAGAAAGCAGAGCCAAGATGCAGGCTGCTATGGCCAGGGCCACTGCCACAGAGCCTGGAGAAGCAACAGAGACTGTGAGTTAAATAAACACAATAACTGGCCAGTCATCCATTGGCTATGAAAGCCGGAATATGGTGACATACCTTCAGGTGGTGTGGGATCCCAGACAGTGCAAACTTGAGATCCATTTCTCCCTGGAAAGAGAGAACAAACACATTGTTTCTCAGATACAGTACATCATCATAGGTTTGGGTTTCTCTCTGTCAAATGCAACAGTTACCATTCACCCCGGCACATGACATTTATGCAGTGTCGTAGACCACAATGAGTACTCATACACCACATTACGTAGAATCTGGGAAACTAACATAACAACTTTGTCCTACTTAGCAACTTTACAAAAGACACTATGATTAAAAAAAGTTGTCTTCCTCCCCTGCCAGTTTACTATAGACTAAGTTAATCCACATTCACACCCATACATTTGATGTCCTTACGTGGTGTAACTTGGAGAATAATGTGGCTATGGGGTCTCTGCACGATGGAGCCATGTTTATGTTCAATCTGGAAGTCTAGGAGCAGACAGCAGTAGCGACCCTGGTCAGCGTGGGTCACATTCTGCAGAACCACCCAGAAGCTATGCTCCGCAAATCCAAATTGCAACCCCGGCGGCAAGCTGTGGTTGCCATGTGAATGACTACCAATGATAATATGGCGTGGGCCCTGTCCTCCTATACAGTGTTGGTCACTGTGCGTTGTGAAAAGCCAGCTGTGCTTCAAGACATCTTTGGGGTACAAGGTTGCACCTCTCTGGCCACAAACCAGTTTGGCAGTTGCACCCTCGGGACACGTGTAGTACAGGTGGGGGGCTGAAACACTCAGCGTGGGGTGGGCGTGGGACATCTCGCCTTTAGCTAGAGAGAAAAGATAAGTTTGAAAGAACAAAGGTAAACCATATGATTATTTTCAACTTTAGTAAATCAGTAAGCCTAAGATAATTGTAAAGTGTTGGGTTATGGCAGTGGTTTGGGTTAAAGTCTGCCAAGTCTACAGTTAGTGCCTGATAAGCTCAACCCCATGGAACGCAAATCCCCATATAGATATTACAGATGACAAGAAAAATCAGAGCAAAGAAGGGATATATATATATATATATATATATATATATATATATATATATATATATATATATTTAGTAAAAAATATTAAAGTCAGATGTTTGTCCAATGGCATGTTGTCCGTCACCATCTTGGCAGTGCTTTACTCCGCCTACCTACCAGCTAATCCAAAAATGGGCTAAGAGGTGGAGCATCAGTAGAGCTGCGGCTGGCCACCTGTGACTGCACCCACCTGTCACTGAGAGCGACCATGCCCTTAGTTATTCATTCATAAGTTACTAGAACTTTAAGCCTTAATATAATTTAAACCGGTGAGTTATAAAAAAATTCCCCTGCACAGTTGTTATGAAGGGAGAATTTAGCTACAGAGACCAAAACCATTTTTTGTACCAGGTTGAAGACATTTCTGCTGTAAAGTTGGGCATTTTAACATGGTGCTCTATGGGGATTGACTCGCTTTTAGAGCTAGCCTCAAGTGGCTATTTGAGGAACAGCTGTTTTTGGCACTTCCTTGTTGGCTTCATTTTTCAGCCCCGAAGGTTGCCGCTTGAGTAAAACATAAAGGCCAACATACACATTTTAATAGTAATATAGAAACGTTTTGCTAATGAAGGTACATCATAATGTTCCTTGCAAAATTCCAGCTTTATTTAATTTGCTTGCATATAGGATTGTGGTAAAGACCTGGTAACATAAGATAATATATTCAAACAGGAAATTGCTTGGTAAATCACAGTTCTCTTCAAATTATTTCATAACTAATGTTGAGTGGGATGAAGTTCCTGCCTGGTACCACCAGTGGTAACACAAATAACACATGCAAAAGCTAATTATAGCAACTACCATTCTCAATATGGATTTAAATACCAACAATTTCCATGCCCTGCACACTACATGCTTCTGTTTTTTTCCACATCTTCGGTTAGCACAGTTTGTTTCCTGTTCTGTATTTGTACCGTGGTTAGAGATAGTAGGCTACATAGTCTGCTGACTTACATAAATATACAACTTTCTGTGGGAGTAAAATTGCCTTTTCCTCAGACAGGGAGAGCGATACAAGCCAATATATACAGGAGTTCGTGTGACATTGCTTTAGTAATCAAACTAAGGAATCTAAAAATCTGACTGATGTTCTGGTCAGTTTCTAGATTACATACTATCACTGTGAGGCATCATCCCCCAGTGAATCTAGAGAAATATCCCTTTCTTTCTCAGAAAAGTATACACTAACAAATATCCTCAGCACATACCTTTTTTGTGCATTCAGGAAACCAAATAGACAGCTGTGAGAATTTTTTTTTTTTACATATTGCATAAACCATTCTCCCTCTCACATACTGCCTTCAACCACATCCTGTTCTGACTTCTGTAGTGCAGCGGTGCAATGCACGAATAGATATGTTCTTTAAACTGTGCTCTGAATGTGCACAGTAAAACAAACATATCCTAAGGCTAAGCAGTCTAAAGCCACTCGCTAAAAATTACCAAAAAAAACAATTAACAACAACAATGCAGATACATCATAATCTGTATAATACAACACTACACAGACATAGTGTATCATCAACACACACAATTAACGACTCCCACATATTCAGCTTTTAAACCCTCACAGAGCAGTGGAGCCACAGCTTAGTGTAAATCACTGTGAATTTAATCATGAACCAACTATTTGCTGTTTTTATGCACTTCCACTATTAGGGGGAAGCCCATAGATAAATGTCAATACTGGTATTAAGTGGTTGGTTAACACTTTGCTGGATAAGAAATGTAGTAGCTGACCAGTCAACGACCTTTGCTTTTTGATTAGCTGTGCATGTTTGTATATTCGGTATGTGTGCATCCAGTGTAAGTGTCACATAGTGCGCCTGTGTGTGCGACTGAACTCTGCACTAGCTATTGTGTGCTAGGAAAAGCAATAGGAAGACTAGGGAGGGTGATTAAAGTGAAACTGTTGCCCCCACGGCTGTTTCTGCCAGCCTAGTGGGACAATAGGAGGGGAAGCCCTACTCTTCTCCTGTTTCACACCCGCCGTGCCTTCCTCCCTGCCCTTCTTTGTGACTCTGCCCTGGTTTCTGTGGCCCTATTTACACTAGTGGAGTTGGACGACTGGCAAAGGAGTGTAAAGGAGTTGTAAAATGTGTTTAGTATACATTTAAATTTTAAGTCTAACTTTAGTCTGATAGAGAGCCAAAACATGATTAGACTGCCAGTCAGGAAACAATATTATACACATTGAATATATATTCAGGTATGTCTTACTGACAAGACCAGACCTTTCTAATATAGTGTCAGCAAAATCTGAGCTGTCTGAGATGTGGTTGCAACCAGGTAAAAACTGGAACAGACAGCATTTCTTTAACTTGTATACACTAGACATCTGTGTTTCTGGCTCCATTATATATCTAAGTTTCCTTCTCTGATCTCTGTTCTCAGCTTCCTGATAGCCCCTCAGGGCCCAGAAACAGGCCCTCCTTTGTTTTAAGCCTAAATGCCACCTGTTTAGGACATGTTGCCTTTGACAGCTTTCTTGAATTCAGACATGCAGCATAACCTGTGTGAATTAATTAAACATGTCTTCATATCTGCTTAAATTACCCCAAGTTTTTATCTTTTCACACACACACCTCAAACACCACCCTTTTTCACACATACTGTTACGGTAATGATTATCCAGCCCATTACAGGGTGTTAATGAAACCAGCAGGAGAATCCCAGATTAACCCCTCAACACGCAAACACAAACACTCATAGAAAGTGAGGGAGTTTCAGTTGAAGGTTCTATCATAACAAACAGATTAATTAAACATCTTTTCAGCAACAGGAAGTGTTAAAATGTGCCACTTTAGGCTCTACCTAGTCAACAAAGGAAGTGGTTATGGGTCAGTGATGCAGGTCATCATGCTCAGGGATCCATGGCATTTAGTGATTTGCTGAACCAATTTGCAATAAACTTGTTTGTGTATGTGTTATTTAAATAATGTGCACACTAGTCACAGTCTCAACCTTCCTCTTCTTCTTCCTTTAAATTGACTCCATCCAATCAGCTACCTAACTGACAGGTCATGTAATGACAGCTTCGTAAACACATTTACAACATGATTACAACATGTTTTATTCTGAAATGTCATTTTGAAAGTGTAAACGGTCCTTTTTGTACTTTTGAAATTGTAAAAGTGCAATTATTGCGTGATTTTCCTGCTTTCTCTTCCTTCTTTGGTATTTCCTGCTTTGCACTTGAAGGCTTTTCATACTATGATTATATTGTTATACTGTTTTCTATTATAGTTAAATATCTTAGATCTTTACCAACCAAAACACATTTGTTTGCTGTTTTTGTTGCTTTGAAGTCAAGGCTCTAGCTTATGGTCAATGCTGTATCCTTGGGCTGTTCAGAGAATCAATCCGCACTAGAAGGCCATTGGTGGATTTTTTACTTGTCATGCTTGCTGTTTATTAAACACCAGACACCAAGATTTCAGCTACAAATGCTTGGCAGACCTTTTAAAAGGTGATACCCAGAAAAATCACAGAACAGGGGAGCTCCCCTCCTCCATTGTCTTCTTATAACTCACAGCACATGCAGTATGTGCCCACACAAGTGCTGTACATCAACACACTCACTGACTGCGTCTCCCTGGTCCGGCCTATTTTTGTCAATGAGATTGACCCAGGAAACAATTTTCTATCTCTGCCCCCCAATAATGCTTTATTCGTTTAGGAAAGGGGATCAATGCATGACACAAGCTCTGTCACAACAGAAGGAGAATGCAGTGGAGACAGCTAAAGAGTGAGTGTTCACATCCTGTGGAGTTCATTGACCATTTTTGCCTGTGCCATTGTCCACCATAGGGAGCTGAACGCTTATCTGGACTGAGAGGAAGAGAGGCACTGATTATGGCTGTGTTTGTCTCAAGTCATTTTTTGTGGAGCCCATTATTGGCAGCTTGGCATAAACAGCTGTTTTCATCATAGGCTAAAAGGAAGGAAACTTCCAAACAAAGAAGACATAACAAGGCTGAAGGGAGGGCAAGTTGGAGTCCAAAAGTTGGAAGCGTTCTACGTCTTATAGGCCTGCAAAACAATCCAGAAATGCTGTATACAAAACTGTAGCCTACAACATGTTCTGAAGTATATATGTTACACAGATTTCTGTCCAGGATGGGCCAGCCTTAAAAACTCGGTAAACATCACTAGTTGCCTTTGACGGACTTATCGTGTGAGCTTATCTAAATACACCAAATCCTAAAGCCGAAAACTGATAACCTCTGCGAGGTTTCAGTGGCGTTTGAAGTGAAGCAGCCCGCGCCCCGGAGGCAACAGCTGTTTCTCCTGTCTCCTCCAGCGGCAGTTGCCTAAACATCAAGCAACGCCAAAGTCATAACCCTGCAATTGATTAAAGGTCGCACGAAAACACGCGGAAGTTCTGTGAAAATGTAGAAATAAATTATTTCAATCAGGGAATACATTACTGGATGTATCGGGGGCCTATCTCATCCTGCACATGCGCACACCGCATTGGAATATTTCCTAATGTCACTGTATGCACGTCTTCCAAATTGTGAATACATCTGACCATTTTAAGACACGTCAGTTTAAAAGCACAAACCGCTGCAGTTTGCGGCTATGATATCTAAAAGGGCGAGTATGGGAGGGGCTTTAAAACAGCTTCACACCAGATGTTCTGTCTCAAAAACACAGCAACAAACTTAGTCTGAAAGGCTTTAAACTGTGTTCGCTCCAATATACATGCACGTAGACCAACTACTCCGCCATGGACATATTTGAAGTTGTTTCTGAATAGAGACACTTCGAGTAGCCTATCTTTAAGCAAACTCTGAATATCATCTGGTTTCGTGCACCTAGGCGTAGGTCTACATTGTGTGCCATTATTAAAACGCTTTAGGCTGCCTGAGTTTGGAAAAACAGTAGTTGCTGGGCTGTTAAATGGACATAGCCTAAGTTAAAGACTATATTAGAGGCCTGTCATATACCGTAAAGTTGTTAGCGATCTTCTGGCATCCTAGGCTACCCTTCGGACACATTAAGGAGATTGACGTTAATTGATGACTTTATCGCCCATTATATTTATAGAGACTTTAATCCGTCCAAACGTAGGCCTACTACAGGTTTAGGCTACTTAATGTATCTTTAAAGTCAATTGCCTTTTCTAAAACTATAGTCCCTCATCAGTGAATTCAATAAATGTTTTGCCACTAAAAGAAAGTTCCACGCCCGGACAGCTGGATGAGCCAGTAAAACAACAGGTCTGAAGAGGATGCTTGTCAAGAGTGGTTTTCGTGCTTACCTCCAGCTATGTTAACCAGAACGGAACAAAACCAAAAGATGAGCTTCTTTCTCCAAAGGGATGTCCGACATGGTAATCCCCACTCCATGGCTGTGCGGTTTGACTCAGACTATCAGCAACTAGGATATAACTCGACAAGCAAACTTTTTCTGCCTTCACTCTCAAACTTTAAAGTCTCTTGACTGTGTACCAACACACAGTGAGGTGGCTGACAGTCCCCGTCACTCTAGTCTCTAACTTGATCCTCCTGAATTTTGCAGCACAAAAATTACGAGATACACGGAGGCGCCACGCTCCTCCCCTACTGTCAGCCTCTCTCTCTCTCTCTCTCTCTCTCTCTCTCTCTCTCTCTCTTTCTCTCTCTTTCTCTCCCTTTTTCACCCCACTTTTATAAAAATGTGTCTTATCTGTTATAAAATTCACAAACAATGTTGAGCTAGCTAAGTCTTAAGTCTGCAGTGCAGTGCATACACTTTATTGGTTAAACTGAAAATTATTCAGTGTTACATCAGCCTTTAATGATCAAATGATTAGTTTTTGTTTCATATCTCCACTTCTGTTTAAATGTATGACCTGTGACCATGTGCCCTGATGTCTTTGGTTACTTTGATTCAGTGGAACACTAAAGTCCCTAAAACACCTCAATGTGTTTGCATCTGCCTTGCCTTAATCTCAGTTGGAAATGAGGTTTCTGTAATATATTATATATGATGTTTTATATATAATTATATGATTAACAGCGGATACAAAACAAAAATCAAACCTCTTTCCTATCAAAATACTAGTGCACTACACATAGTAACACAGTAAAAAAAAAAAGTCAAAAGTTTAACTATATTTATTATTACATTTGAAGCCAGGTCAGATATAAATTTACTCATCACTGAACTTTTATTCCACACAATGATACTTATACTTTCAGTGGTTTAATAAAGAACTTTTGGCTACCTTGCAGCGTCTTCTCTCCACCTCACTTAGATTTCCTCTTAGTTCTCACAAGACATATTTTCCTTCAGTTTGTAACAAAATATGCTCCTACTGTGTTGTCCCATTCTCCCATGTTAAACCAAATAAAGAGTTATTACAGCTGTAAAAGTTTTCCCATGTCTCTGTTTCTCACCAGACCTCAACCACCATCAATGTTCGCATTGTGGATGAGAACGATAATGCCCCAGAGTTTCCCGAGGAGGAGTATGTCACAGTGTTGAGCGAGGGACCAGAAACAGTGGGTGCCACCATCGCCACAGTAACGGCCATCGACCCAGATGAGGGTCTGAACGGCACCTTGCGATATGCTATCACTCAGGGCAACCTGATCCAGACCTTTAATATGAACAGCATCACCGTAAGACATGATAACTGTTATACTGTAGTGTTACAAGTTACTGCAAAAAAAAGATGATTAACTTTCTGTGTATGATGTGTATGTGTGTGTATTTAGGGGAGGATTACAGCCATAAAGGAGCTGGACTTCGAGATCAGCAATGGACACTACACACTGGTTGTCACAGCTACGGACCAGTGTCCAAAACCTGCTCTTCGTTTGACATCTAGCACAACAGTAATTATGCAAATGAGACACAATCTGTTTTAATGTTTTTAACTAAAGTAATATTACATTAACATTTTAGAGCTGAAACAATTACTCGATTAACTGAGTAGTGAAGTGACAGAAAATCAGCTCTCAATTTTGATAGTCGATCAATCGTTCAGGTATTTTATGAAGCGAAAATGCTAAACATTTGCTGGTTCCAGCTCCTCCAATTTGCTGTTTTTAACCATTTTATATAATTTAAAACCCAACACTTTTGACCATTGGACTGCTAGAAACTTGTAATCGGCAGTTTTTTGTCTTTTCTGACCATTTAAACAACTAAGTAATAAATCAATGTATTGAAAAAACAAACAAACATATTTAAAAATAATAAATATAATGATAATAATTACACAAACAATAATGATGATTCTCAGTTAAAGTCCAACCTGTACATTCTCATGGAACAAACTGGAGACATTAAACAAAATAATTTGTCAGAATGTAAACATTAGTGGATGCATGGCATTGATAGATTAATATTTTTACCTAAAATGCAGAAACCTTACCCAAAACACCCAAATCCTATTATGAGTATTTGTATTTGTGGAAATTAATATTTTAATCAGAATCTCATGATACAAGTTTGAATTTAATGTCCAATTTAAGTGTGGATTTTATTACCTTCAAAAATGTATTTATGTTATGATATTGTTGTATAGGGAGCCATACATGTTTTTGGTGCTCATCCTAATTCCTGTGTCACAATGGGTCACCTCTCATATAACAGTTGTGTTAAGAACTCCCTCTCCCTCCTTCTCAGGTGCTAGTAAATGTCCTAGATGTGAACGATGTGACGCCCACCTTCCCTAGGGCCTACGAGGGACCCATCGAGGTGGCTGAGGGCCAGCCAGGACCTCGGGTCTTGACTCTCAGAGCCAGTGATCAAGACTCTGGGCTCAATGGAAAAGTGGAGTACAGCATCACTGGGGGAGATCAACAGAGTTAGTAGCGAATTGTTCTGTCAAAAGTGTGATATCTTATTAAATCCTCACTGTGTGTCTCTGAGCCTCTTTCTCTGTCTTTCTGCCAGATGAGTTCATGGTTTCTCCAGTGGAGGGCGAGCTTCGGGTGAGAAAGGATGTAGAGCTGGACAGAGAGACAACTGCCTTCTACAATATCACTGTCACAGCCCGAGACCTGGGCACCCCATCTCGCAACAGCTCGGTGGGTCTTTATTACACCAACACACACACGGGGATGGGCTATCTGGAACACACTGTATTCTCTTGGACTATCAGGATCTTGCCAGCTTCACTTCTGTGTTGTAATTTGGCTTGCAGGGACACGTATTGAACACTCAAATCTCCAACAAATGAATAGATGGCTTGTGAAGTTTTTATACGTGACATACTACAAAAAAGTACCACTCTCACAAACTTCTCAACCAAATCCATGATCATGCCAGTTAAACATACACTACATCGCTCACCTGGTAGAGTGTGCACACCATGTACTAGGCTGAGTTCATACTGCAGAAGTCCCAGTTTGAGTTTGCAGCCCTTTGGCTTCTCCAAAGGAAATCATCTTTAATGCAATGTTGTGTTTTTATGGTGCAGATGGAGAAATGCATAGGCTATTTTAAGGTTTTAATCATGTCTAGCTAAAGGCTACAGGGTGAATAAAACAATATAAAATATCCCTATTTAGATCGCGGATCATGATTGCGGTTAAACAGATTGTGAATTATTTTTTTACCACATCATCCACCACTATGAGTTAATGTAAAAAGATCATAAGTTGGAAGTTTTATTTTTGTTTTCTTCAGGTGGTGGTGGGGGTCTATGTCCAAGACATCAATGACAATGACCCAGTCATCCTGAACCTGCCTTACAACACCAGTGTGAGTGAAGGCGCCTCCATACACACCTCTGTGGCCAGGGTCCGCGCACAAGATGCAGACAGCGGCCGGAACGCGCTGCTCACTTATAACATCACTGCTGGAAACCAGGATGGAGCCTTCTACATCATTGACACAGTGAGATAATGGGATGGTGTTGGTTAAAGAGTAATGTAACAGGGATTTAACTTTTCACCTTGCTGTAGTGAAGTACAGGGTCACTCCAGGACCTGGTGTCATCCCTGTTGGGTGTGGTTACGGGTTCCACAGAGTGCACTTTTGACCACACCCAACTGTGATACTGGATGTGGTCATATGTAAAACAGACTTTCAGCCAGAGTTGGCAGCAAAACACTGCTTTTCACCCGGGTATTAAGTTACTC